GACCGCCTGAGAGGCGGGATATGCAGGGGGAGAGGGAAGCAGAGGACGAGTCGCGAGTGAGGGGTCGTTCCCTGTTGGAGCCGCACAGGTAGGGGAGGTTTCGGAGTGTGGTTGTCACCGCAGCTCAGCGTTAGGAATCCTCCGTGCGTCCGTAGGCAGAGTGACGGTGAAAGCTGACGGCAGGTTCCCTGGAGTCCTTGGAGCACGCCAGGCGGTACCCGGGTGCCGTTCTGGAGTGTTGCCCCTAAAGGGCCGGTTTTTTTGCCCACCTGGGCAGTTCTGCAGAAGGACCGTGCGCTGCCTGTGCCCAGAGTGTGAGCCGCAGTGCTGCTGCTTAAAATAACGGTAAGGGGTAGGTCATTGGCTTGCATTCCCCTGTCAACAGTGGTTAATTGGGAAAAACTCTTGAATTAAAACAGTACAGAAGAAAGAGCAGACAAAAAAATGAAAATCAGGTAGTCAAGGAAAACTGCAATCTTTTAGTGTTGAGAGTCTGTGATTTTGAATTGGCTCTCTGCAGGATGTAGTTCAGAGACCAAAATATCTTTGTTCCAGATGCGGCATTCGAGACGAACCAATTATCCTGAGTGGGATAAAAGAGACAGTCCGAATCACAGAAGATGCGACAGTGCTAGCAAAAGAAAGAAGAGGTCATTAAGTAGTGCGCAGGAGAAAAAACACTTCAAACGTGATCTTTCCAAACTCGCTGGCAGGTAAATAGCTCTTAGACTTCTGATATCAGCAAGCACATGTTTTAAAATTTTATTCTAGGGAGGCCATCTGATACTGTATTTGTTTCTGAGTTGGAGACAGTTCAAGAGAGATGTCTTGCAGCTCGCAACAAAAAGCTGTCTTGGTAGGGGTACTAGAACTGTTTCAATTACATATATTTGATCCTTTGTTTGTAGTATGTGTTCGGAATCCAAATCTGTAAATGAACGAGACCGTCAAGACCGGCACTATGTTGAAGAGTACAGAAACGAGTACAATTCAGGATGTGACACTGAGCATCACAGTAGCAAATCCTCGGGTCATAGTGGGACAAGTAGTTACAAAAGGAAATACAAGACACATCACACTGCCTGTCATCATCATCGTTCACAGGTTGTGTGACCAATTTTAATTTAGACTTTTTTTAAATTATTATTTTGAGAAGAAGGATTCTCATATGGGCAGCAGTAATTGAGGTGGGGGTTTGAGGAATTCCATCAATAATGTTAGTAGCTCGTTCCTTTAGCTAATATTAGTAGATTACTCTTTTTGCTAGGGTTTTATTTCCTTCAGTGAAAATGTGTAGTTTGTAGGAATGCTTGTCTTACCACAGAACACAGTCTTGTTATTCGCTGGGTATGTTTGAGCAGATTAAGGAATAGTAGCCATCGATTCAAGTTTTGGAAATGCAGGCATCGCTTCTGTGCCTTCAGAATTTTTATTGTGACAGGAATCTGTTTCAGCCCTACTCAGAAATCCAAGGACAAGCTTTTAAGCTTGTTCTTGACTAAGAATCATTGGAATAGCAAGGAGATCATGTCACATTTTTGCTTTTTCTGAAATTATTTAGTAAGGTGTTTCAAGTATGACTGAAAAATCTGTAGAAAAGGTATATATGATGTCTGTCCACTACCAGGATGGGTTTTCTGATACTTGTTGTATATGTAACTCTTAGAAAAGCTGAAGAAGGGATTTATAATTTAAGCTCTTCAGCTGGAACAGCCTAAAGTATATGCTATTTATTATTTAAAAAAAAAAAATCTTAGTAAATATTTAGACCAGTGATTTAATCTCGGATTACTTAAAATGGATGTTTTGATTTGGCCACAGGGCTTATTTTTTATATATAGGTATATATATATTTTTATGGGATAATTATTAAATCATTTTGCTTTGGGAAAAAAGTACAGGCACTGAAATTCTAAGGTAAACTTCAGTGAACCTGTCTTTTAAAAGAAAAACAATTGTGTTGTAATTTTTTGTTGCCTTGCCACTTTGAGTATCTCATCTGAAAATCTGTTCCTTGCCATGTTTTTCTCCTGTAACATAAACTATGTGCCCTGTGAATTTCCGGGGACTGAATTTGAAATTGCTCCTGCCAACTGTTTGTGGCCTGGCGTGTATCTGAATGCCCGAATATCTCCCCGCTGAATGAATTTCGTATTCTGACCTGAATTCACTCGGGTTTATTGATTGGCTGGACGATCTTGGTGCCGTTCCAGAAGAGTCATCGAAGGAAAAGATCCAGGAGTGTAGAGGATGATGAGGAGGGTCACCTGGTCTGTCAGAGTGGAGACGTACTAAGTGCAAGATGTATAGAATATTTTTCGAAATTTATTAACTTCTCAGCTAGAATAAGTTCTTTTAGCATAAGATGTGAGGGGGCCTTGGAAGTCTTTTCTTTCTGTCTTGACTTTTTTTTTTGTTTGGGGGTGGGAATTGTTAATCTGTTTCTGTAGAACTTAAGTATATTTCTTCCTTCCTTTTTTCCCCCCCCCATAGTAAATGAAGTTAACGAACCTACTAGAATGAGATCCCTGTGATGTGCCTTTGAGAGTTGTCCAGTAACATCTCTCAAACTAGATATTTACAATTTAAAGAAGCACAGTCTAGAATAGTTTCAGTGATAGTATTTCCGTTCATTTTTGTTTGTTTCCTTGATTGTTTTAGTAGCCGAGTAACTTGACAACTTCTGTGACTGAGAGTTCTCTTCTTTATAGATGAAATTGTCGCTACTTTGGGTGAAGGCGCTTTTGGAAAAGTAGTGGAGTGCATCGATCGCAAAGCGTAAGTCTTCAGTGAAATGTGTCCTTTTTCTTACCGCTAGTATCGCAGTCTGGCTCGTGCAGCGCGTTGTGATTATATCAGGTTGTATCTTTATTCCCTCAAATGCTGTTTTCTTATTTCTTTAAGGCTGCCGCAGTTCCCAGGCACAAGTTCATGTCATAATTGGTTCTAAAATGAGCACCTAGGCCTGATTGTGCGGCACCAGTGGATGCGTCTTCTGCTGGCAAGCCCCAGCCTGGGGAGAGGCCAGGGCTGGGCAGGGGACATGGCTGAAATGGTGTGGGGTGAAGCCTCACGTGCCCCACGGGCAGTCCTGGGGCCTGCAGTGGCCCAGCGCTGCGCGGCGAGCACAGCCTCTGGCACAGCGCAGCTTTAGGTTCCAGCTGCAGTGCCGCTTGGGTTCTAGCAGCAAGCCCGTTGTAAATCAGCAGTGTGTTTTGTGTTTGATGGTAGCTCTGCTGTGTGCAGAACAGTGTGAAACTCGGTGGTTGTGCAGCCACTCTGGAAGGCATTGACAGCTCTTGACTGATAGTCGTGAGAGGCTGCGACCTGGGGAAGTTTCTCCAGCATTAGCCCAGCGCATGCACACACACACACACACACATACACGTATATATAGTCACAAAAGGAGGGTAAATGGGGCTTTTGACCTTCAGGAATAATAGTGATGTATAAGCTATTGAGCATGTTTTCAAAATACAAAGATGAAATTTTAGTTGGCGTTACACAAAGTCAGTAGGCACTTAAACCTACTGGTACGGTTGCCGCTGTTAGAAGCAATGCATATGGCAGTAATTACTGAATATTCTGAGTTAAAACTACTCATTGTTCTAATCACTGTTAAAACTTGTCTTTTCAGGGATGACAGACATGTAGCTGTGAAAATAGTAAAAAATGTTGCTAGGTACTCCGAAGCAGCTCGTGCAGAGATACAGGTGCTGGAACATTTAAATGCCTCAGATCCCACCAATACATAGTAAGTGTGCAGAACCGGTCGTTCTGCTTTCTAGCTTTCTGTTACACAGGGCATCTCTGTCTCAAGTGTAGACAACTTCCTCCTGCAAATCCCATATTTTCCTGCTTTTGCAGTCGCTGTGTCCAGATGCTGGAGTGGTTTGAGTACTACGGACACGTCTGCATTGTCTTTGAGCTGCTGGGGCTGAGCACCTATGACTTTATTAAAGAGAATGGCTTTCTGCCGTTCAGGCTGGACCACATCAGACAGATGGCGTATCAGATCTGTAAATCTGTGAACTGTAAGCATGGGTCTTTTTTTGGTTTGTTTTATTTCTTAAATTTTCTTCATGCTAACCGTATTTGTTACCTTGCAGTTTTGCATTTGAACAAGTTGACACATACAGATCTGAAACCAGAAAATATTTTATTTGTGGAGTCTGACTATGTGGAGGAGTATAACCCCAAACTGGTGAGTTGCTGTCCTCTTCCCTGCCTCCCCCTGTGCCGCTGTCTGGGCGTACCTGATCACTTGCACCTCGCTGTGTTTCATTCCAGAAATGCGATGAGCGCACGCTAAAGAACCCAGACATCAAAGTTGTGGACTTCGGGAGCGCCACGTATGATGATGAGTATCACAGCACTTTGGTGTCCACGAGACATTACAGAGCTCCTGAAGTGATCCTGGGTCAGTAGGCGGCTGCTGAGCTGGGCTTTCCTTTCACATTTTTTCTGTATGCTGTCAAGCTGTGCCACAGCGGTGGCACGTAGCTTGTTTGAGCTCCTGAACTGTTCATTGTCTGTTATAAACATGAACCTTCTGAATCTTTTCACAGCACTAGGATGGTCGCAGCCGTGTGATGTTTGGAGCATAGGATGTATTCTCATTGAATACTACCTTGGATTCACAGTATTCCCGGTAGGTAACTGTGGATCTCAGATGCAGCATGGATAACACTCCTCAGCTTGGTGAAAATGCACTGCAGAGAGGCAGGAACTGAGGGAAATGGTCTGTGCAAGCAATTAAGCTGAATTTCTGTGTTAATGCCATGTTGAAGAGAACATTAAGATGTAGTACAAAGGAACTTTCTCAGAGATTTCTACAAATAAAGCAGTAGCCATTCTGGTTGTGAACATGGGTGATTTTCAAGCCACACTAGTAACAGCTGTAGCTGCATGTGTCGCCATTGGCTGCTCAGTACTACTCAAATGCCTTGACAGTATTGATGAAACGTGAAATTGGGTGGGAGACCAAAGGCATAGTCAAGGGGGAAAACCTCCAGTACACTGTAGCTTATTTGGGTAAACTACAACCTCTCGTCTGTTCCTTAATCTGAAACTGGTTACTTGTTACAGGGTACAGTAACAAACGAGGTAAGAGTTGGGCGCGGGTCTCAGTAACTTCCTCTAAAAGTGAACAAACCGTCTGTCTTTGATTTCCCTCCAGACGCACGACAGCAAGGAACACCTGGCAATGATGGAGCGAATCCTGGGCCCTTTGCCAAATCACATGATAAAGAAGACCAGGTAATTACATTTTCCTGTACATATGGTTTGTAGCCATTTTTTAAAAAATGTTTACTAAACTCGGAGTTATCCTCTGTTTAACAAGCCTAGCCTCTCTGTTTCCAAGTTGTGAACAAACATGCTGTTAAACTTCTAGTGAAGGGACAAAGCAAAAATCTGAGTAACAAAACTTGTCTGTTTGCTTAAGGAAACGCAAGTATTTCCATCATGACCGGCTGGATTGGGATGAGCACAGCTCAGCTGGTAGATACGTCTCAAGGCGGTGTAAGCCACTGAAGGTAAGATGCCAGAGGGAAAATACTTTTGAGGAGAGGAGCTTTAAGTGCAATTGTAACATTTAAAATAAAAAATTGTTTTCTTCATGCAGGAATTCATGACCTGCCATGATGCTGACCATGAGAACCTCTTTGACCTCATTGAAAAGATGCTGGAGTATGACCCAGCCAAGCGCATTACTCTTGAAGAAGCGCTGAAACATCCTTTCTTCTTCCCACTGGAACAGGAAGAAAAGGTGCCGTCTCCTCTAGCTGAACAGGCTGACAGGTGTCAGTCCACCAAAGAAACATAAAAAGTGTTAAATATTTATTGTGTACAGCTATTTTGTAATTAGATTTTATATTAGAACTATTCTATATTAGAACTTTTTGGATACTGATATTTACTCCAGCTGCCAATACTTAAGAAAAATAATCCTGATGAATGTGGCTACATTTTCTCAGTAAATAATAATCATCTTAGGACATTTGTGCTTTTGACATGTGGAAAAGAGCACTTTTTACTCTGTCAGTCAGCCTTCCCCTCGGCAAGCAGGTATGGTTTTCATTGTTCTGGTCAACTGACGTTTGAATGGCAAAAGATCCAAGACATGATTTTTACTGTTTAGTGTCACTGATGCTTCCTTCTGGGTAAGAGAACAGAGACAGCCCTTAGATATTGAGTGTAAGGATGGCATTTATTTGTTTTTAAAAAAAAAAAAAAGCGCCACAGAGTAAGGAAGATCACTGGAGTATTGGACAGATTGCATTGTGATCACCAAGTTCATTTTATTTATTTTAGTAGGTATACTCTGGTTATTGGTATTTAAGTTAATGCTCATTATTAGCTTACAAGAGTATAGACTTCGATTTCACCAGATTTTTTCTTGAATTATGAGTAGTCCTGAGAATTTCTATTACGAATTCAAAGTTTCAGGGAGCAGAGCTGTTTGGTTTAACGTGTCAACTGCCAGCATAAAATAACCCCTCAACTTCAGGGGAGGCGGCACAGCTCAGTCTCCCTCTGAGAGGGAGTTGTCCTGTCCTCTTGAGGAGCAGACCAGGGCTCCCCTGGAGCTGATGCCTGACTGCCCGGTCAGACTGGGCTGAGGCAGCAGGACAGTGGCAGGAAAGGCAGAGGCTGCTTGGCCGTGGCAGCTGCCAAGCAGGGAGGTTCTGCTTTTCACCCCTCCCTGCCCTGTAACTGCTGGGACAGAGGGGTGCTTTGTGCTGGAAGTAAAGAGCTGGACAAGGGCCTGTGAACAAGTTACTGGGAGCAAGTGGTATGGACTGAAGTGTCACACCATGAACCATGGCCTCCCTTTGCGTCGAAGGTGTTTTACACTTTAATTTGCAAACAGAACTGCCACAAATCTCATTCACTGTATCATGTCTACTCAAATATTGATAGAAAACCCAAGGGGTAAAATGGATTTCATTGTGGAAGGCCTTAAATTACATTATTACAGTAGAAAATACAGGAGGTAGAATATAACTGAAAGGACAAATGCAGGTTAGAGTCAAATCTATAACAGCTCCTGTAAGCTACTTGAAACATGGTTTTAAAAACTAAACCCAGTATTTCAGTAACTATAGAAAAAACAGTTAAAAGAAATTGCCATGAGAGCCCTTATATCATGCTTGATACAGGGAGGTAGGATGTAAGACTCAGAAGGATGCATGAGACATGACACTTTTATCTACAGCTCCTGTTTGCTTTACTGAAGACAGTTTCACAGGTCAGTCGCCCTCTTCGGCTTCGGACTCCGACTCTGGAACAGAGAGAGTTCATGACCAGGCTGCCAGCAGGCCAGGCCCTGGCCCCAACCCCATGTTGTGCAGCTGCCCCACATCCCCTCCCCATGGCTCTCAGAGGCCAGCTTCCCTAGGCTGTACCAGTACACACCTAGTCTCAGAGGAGCCATTAACACACACACACCCCCCCCCCCAAAAAACCAACCAAACAGAACAACTGAGGGTCCCAAAATGACCAAGCTCAACTCATGAGCTGAGCTGCTGGTTACCTTCTTCAGCGTTCTTGAGCCATTCAACAAACTTTTTCATTTGCTCCAGAATTTTTTTTCCTTTTGCAAGATGAGCATCTTTGTACCACTTCAGGATGGGTTCTTCACTCAGAACTTCAGCTGCAAGATACGCAAGAGCAGCATTAGCACAGCAAACCGCCAAACCCCAGCTGCCAAGAAGCTGAGGGCAGTCCCTGCTCCCTC